CTGTGGCGGGGAGTCGAAGGAGGAGGAGGAGGAGGAGGAGGAGAGGGAGGAGGAGGAGGAGGAGGAGGAGGAGGAGGAGGAGGAGGAGGAGGAGGAGGAGGAGGAGGAGGAGGGAGGGAGGAGGAGGAGGAGGAGGAGGAGGAGGAGGAGGAGGAGGAGGAGGAGGAGGAGGGAGGAGGAGGAGGAAGGAGGAGGAGGAGGAGGAGGAGGAGGAGGGGGAGGGAGGAGGAGGAGGAGGAGGAGGAGAGAGGAGGAGGAGGAAGGAGGAGGAGGAGGAGGAGGAGGAGGAGAAGGAGAAGGAGGAAGAGGAGAAGGAGGAGGCTGGCTGACCCCCCCCCCGCCCCAGGGCTGGCGAGAGCTTCTCCGTGGGAGCTCGCATCCGGGCGCCGCCACCTGGGCGACGCAGAGGAACGGGTTTTGCGCGAGGGCGCACAGCGGCCCGACGTCGCGGCCCACGCGGGGCCGCCAGCGCAGCGCCCCGCGCGGAGAAGGTGGCGTTTCCTCGCGGCCGCGCGCGCGAACGTCCGCACAGCCGCCGCCGCTTGCCTCCGTCGCTCACTTGAAGCTTGTGAGAGGTGCGCTGCTGCTTCCGCATCTGTACCGAACGCGACAGGCACCATGATCCCGCCAGCCCTCTGGGCGCAGGCGGTCTAGGGCGCTTCCTTTTCCAACCTCCTCCTTCTTTTCCCTGCTTGGGAGGCTTACCTCCCCCCACTCCATGCGTGTGGACGGGGGGGGGGGGGGGCGACCCATAGCAACGTCCAAGATGGCCCAATATGGCTCCAAGAGGGCATCACAGAGCGCAGGATGGCCTCAAAGATGGCCCAAGATAGCGGTAGATGGGTCAAGATAGCCTCCGACACGCATCCAAGAGGCCTCAAAACGGCCCCAAGACGGTTTCAAGCGTCCTCCGAGCCCTCCGAGGACCCCCCCAACAAAATCCTTCAAACACCTAAAGGATATCACTGTTTGTTGCCTTCTCGCTTTTTCGCCTCCGATGGGCTCTGGAGGCCTCAAGATGGCCCCAAGACGGCCCAAGATAGTCCCACGAGGGGCCCAAGAGGGCCCCAATACGGCCCCAAGAGCGCCAGAGAGCGCTTCAATTGCGGCCCAAAAGGGCCCCAAAACGGCATTTGTGAGCCGCCGAGGGGGCGATGGGAATTAGAACCCCCCTCTTTTTAAGCGAAAAGGGTCCAAGACGGCCCCAAGAGGCCCCCCATGCATCCCAAACGAGTTCCAAGAAGGCCCCCAGACCCTCCAAAAGAACCCCAAGAGGGCCCCGGGACGCCCCAAAAATAGCCCCAAGAGGGCTCCAAGAAGGCCCTAAGAGGACCTCAAGAGTGCCCCAAGAAAGAGCTCCAGGAGGGCCCCAAGAGGGCCCCAAAATAACCCCAGGAGAGCCCAAATATGGTTCCAAGTTTGGCAACGCACGCGAGCTTAAGATACAAATCAGTGCAACAGCCATTGCGAGTCATCGAAACACCCCTCACCCCTCATCGAAGCACCATCATAGCTTGCACCGGTTTCCAGATTAAACTTCAATGCGGGGGGCTCTTTGTGATCCTTGTTTTCCCGAAGACGGCTGCGCAACTGCATGCGTCCTGCCGCCCCTGATTCACCGACTCCCCTGCTGATCGTTTCTGGATGGGCTGGTGGGGATACTTTTGATTCCGAGTGGCGCTGAGGCAGCCGCGCACCGTCAAAGGGTCGAACAGCACAGGGCCAATGGCTGGTGGATATATTTTTTTGGTCGCGGCCGCAGGCGAAGGCGCAAGCGGCGAGTCCTAAGTCCGGGGCGCGGGCCTACTAATTGACAACAGGAGCAAACTAGAACCGCGCACCTAAAGTGCCTAAGCGGCCTAAGCGGCGCCTCAAGTGAGCTGCAAGCTGCACTGAGTGTGGATGCCAAGGCCAGGGGCAGAAAGCGCACACACAGCGTCCATGCAAGGCGGTGGCTGCCAGGGTGCTGGTGGGGATATTTTTTGATCTGCGGCTCCAAGGACGATTCCAGAGAGCGGGTCGTAGCAAGCTTGGGGCGACAAGCAAGATAATTGCCAGCGGGCCAAAGCCAACGCCGGAATGCACATGCGAGGAACAAAATGAACCTCATTAAGCCGAACAATGACGGCGGCAGACACGAAGGCCAGCGGAAGGTCGCACAGTGGCGCCAGCTCACGAGGCGCAGGCCTGCGAAAGACCGGTGGGGAACGCGGAGAGAAGAAGCAGAGGCGAAGACAGGCGCGGAGAAGAGGGCAGAAGGCGCAGGAGGCGAGAGACAGGGGCGGGAAAAGGGGGAGAGCGGGACAGGGGGCAAAGGGAGCCTCACTCACAGAGCACCTCATGTGCTCGAAGACAGGTCGTGTCTGAACCAGGCGTCAGTGGTCTTGTCGTGAGTCCCGAGCGGCAACACCCTTGCGTCCGTGGACGGGGGGGACGTCGCGTGGGACCACGGCAGCACTAGCCACCGGCGTCCAGACGCCCCGCCTGGGGGAGACTGCGGGCAGGTGTGCACCACCTGAACACCGCAGAAGGGCAGGGCGTCGTAGGCGTCCGCGAGCGACAAATCCAACCAGAGGAAGGGGCCGATGTCGCTGGCATAGCCGGATGCCGAAGAACGCCTGCCAAGAGGAAGCACGGCCCTGTCAAAGGATGCACCACTTGTACAGGAAGCCAGCCTCCACGGCCCACCTGCCAGTGCCCCATCGGGCGCACCCTGCCGCGTGGAAGGAGTGACCACCTCGGAGCGTGCGCGAAGACGTGGCACTGTTGGGGGGGAGCCGACTGGCGTGCTCAGCACCTCAGCGCACGTGGAGGAGGGGGGGAGAGAGGCGCAGCCGATAGCCGCAAATCTGGTGAATACTGGAGGAAGGAGAAGCGCAGGTGTGCCAGGCGACACAGACTGCCAAGGACCCAACAGAGCGTTGCCAGGGGCGTGTCTGGGGGGAAGGTCGTCGGCGTCGAGCAGCGGGACGGGCCCGTCGTGAAAGGGCTGAGCCTGCCAAAGGATGAACCACTTGTGCAGGAGTGTGCCATACCTGGGCCCACCCGCAGGTGGTGGTGGAAGCGGGCAGGCGCGCGCGTGCGCACCACGCCGCGGCCACGGGTGAGCGTACTCCGTCACAGGAGCTGGGGGGGCAACCTTCACAGCAGTGTGCCGGGCCCGCCGTGGAAAGGAGGAGCCTGCCAAAGAAGTGCCACTTGTGCAGGACTGCAGCGTCATCAGTGGCTGTACTCCCGTATGGGCCAGAGTAAGGGCCGGCGAAAGGCTGCGTTGTCCTGTGTCTGGAAGGCTGTCCCGTGGTCTCCCTGCTGTGAGAGCGGCGCAGTCAGAGGACGGCTGACGGACGGATGGTCAAGAGGGGATGCTCCGCGGCTTCCGCAGCCCCCGTCGCTTCCGCCGACTCCCCGCACCTTTCCTCTGGCCTGTTGTCTCAGTTGGAGGGGGGGGCCGTTAGTGTGACTGGTCGGAAAGTAGTCGTCTGTCGTTGCCGTCAAGGCCGACATCCCGAGCCTCCGCCGTCTCCGCCGTGACTTCCCCCTCCATTCCACTGCCTTGCTGGTACAGAGGACTGCTGACGGACAGTTTGACCAGAATGGGGTGCTCCGCGGCTTCCGCCGTCTCCGCCGTCTCCGCAGTGACTTCCCGTTCCTTTCCTCTGGCCTGCTGGTACAACTGAAAGGGGGGAACGTACGTGTGAGCTGTACACAGGTCACTGCAGGCTACCTCCTCTCGATTCCCCACTGGGACGCCATCGTCTGACCACGATGTGGGGGGTGGTATCGTGGCCTCTGCCTCAACCGCACCTCGATTCCCCTCTGGGACGTTGTCTTCTGTCGACGAAACGGGTGGAGGCAAGCTGCCGCTGCTGCTGCTGCAGCAGCGGCTGCGGCAGCTGTGGTGCTGCAGCGGGTCGGCGTCGTCGTTGTCGGCGTCAACGTCGTCGACGTCGGCGTCGTCGGCGTCGGCGTCGGCGTCGGCGTCGTCGTCGGCATTTTTTTTTTTTTTTTTTTGTTTTTTTTTTTTTCCTCCCCCCTGTCCAGCCCCATTACAAGTCGTCGTCAATAGGGACCGCCTGGTCCACACCGCTGATGCTGCCACTGTGGCCCCCTCCTCCTTCCCTCCTGCTGCCACTGCCGTCGTCGCCACTGCCTGCTGCCACTGCCAACGCCTGCTCTTCTCGCACGCGCTGCTCGCAGTGACGTATGTGGTGCTGTTGGGCTCCACCTTCGCGACCCGGATCTCGTTCAGCAGGACCACAGCCTGCTGCCACTGCCAACGCCTGCTCTTCTCGCACGCGCTGTTCGCAGTGAGGTAGGTGGTGATCATGGCGGGCTCCAGCTTCTACACAAGCATCTCGCTCAGCAGCGTCGCAGCCTGCTGCCACTGCCGAGGCCACCTCTTCTCACAGGCGCTGCTCACAGTGCCGTAGGTGATGATGTCGGGCTCCAGTTTCGGCTCCGACGTCTCGGAGGGCAGCGGTGGGGCCGGCTGCCACTGCCGGCACTTCTCGCAATCGCTGATCGGGGCGCTGTGGCCCACCATTTCCGGCTCCAGCTTCACAACCCACATCTCTCTGTGCAGTGGTAGGGCCGGCTGCCCCGTGTTGTGGCTCATGGTGTCGGGCTCCAGCTTCGCCACCCGCCTCTCGCTGAGCAGCGATATGGCCCGCTGCCACTGCTCGCCCTTCTCGCACGCTCTGGCCGGAGTGCCAGAGCTGCTGACGGCGGGCTCCAGCTTCAACACCCACATTTCGCTGAGCAGCGATGGGGCCCGCTGCCGCTGCCAGCACTTCTCGCACGCGCTGTTCTGGTCGCTGTAGATCGTGATGGTGGGCTCCAGCTTCACCCCCAACCTCTCGCTGAGGTGAACCAGCGCTGGCTGCCACTGCCCCTTCTCGCGGGCGCTGATCACGGCGCTGCAGCGGCTGATGTTGGGCTCCAGCTTCACGACTGTGGGCTCCAGCTTCACTCCCAACATCTCGCTGCGCCGAGCCAGAGCT